GGAATTGCGTTCAGTCCGGGAATTTTATGTCAGTTTATGTAATTCTCGAATCCCTTATACTTTAGAAAAAGATAGAGAAAGAAATGCCAGCCGATACTGTAGGAAAAGTACGAGACACTTTCCAATCTGTTAAGAGCAAAATCCGTAATGATGCTCAACAATTTGCTCAAAACGAAACACTGAGAAAGGGTGTTGAAAATTTATCAAAAGCCAGTGAGCATGTTAAGGATGCCACTAAATCACTTAGTGAAACAGAGTTCATCAAGGCTGCTATAAAAGTAACTTATCTTGCTTAGAGGTAATATTGATAGGGTGTTGAAGTAGTTGGGAAGGAGTTAGAATCAGAAAGGTTTCAAATGTATCAAGCGCCAAGTAAGTCAAATTCGACAGTGCTTATTAGTGAATTTCTAGGTATTTTAAAAACAAGAAGTGAGATCTCTGGCAAAGGTGAGGAACGCTCAATACAACCAGATAGGTGAGCTTTATATCATTATTGTGAGTCATACTGAAAAATGTCAGGATTTAACTGTTAGCTTATTGTAACTGTGTATTAATTATTTCTTGAAGAGATCTTAATTTTAAAGTTTTTACTAGCCAATTTGTGTGATCAAAGCAACATTTGTTTTTCAATCAGATATTTACTCAGTAAGTCTGGTCATATGCGCATGTATAGACACTTATGTATGAAGATCCTTACGACGTTTATATAAAATGTTACTGGCTACATATAACTTGTGCATTTTCAAAGAGTGGCGTCTAACTAAACGCTGAATTCTCGGCATCTTTTTGTAACTATAAAAATCAGAGTCATTTCTAAGCGTGTCAAATCTGTTATACAATCAGTCGAGACCGGTTTGTTGATCACTTTTTAGCAATACTAGTATCCGTGATAAACCTCAACCACTTACTACCATCGGGATAGGGTCATAAATTAGTGTAAAGAATTGAGACTAGAAGCTGGAGTTATAAGCTAAGGTTTGGAATTAGCAAGCTTTGTAGGTCTTTAATCACTATGCCTAATCCCAGCTCTCAGATAATCACTTTCAACACGGATTCCCACAAGATATACATATTTGGTGTCTTAAAACCATTTGTACGTGGCATTATTTCATTCATGATATCAAGCTTCCTGGATTCCATTCTCATTATGCTAAACATGAAGTGTCTGAAGCAGACAGCCATTCACAACGCAGAACCTGATACATCGAAAATAGTTTATTTGATAAATGTCCTCGTTGTTACTTAATAAAAACGCAAACCAATTTTTGAATCTAGTGTTATGAAATTTCTATCAATTTAGCTTCTCTATGTATTCGAATCATTGTGCCTTTTGGACTTCATCAAAGCTTAATGTTTACTCCTTTCATCTATCAGTTTTTGAGTGTTTTTAGTGTATTTATCTGAGTACTATGTAGTTTCGGTTCCGGATTGTATTAGTGTTGAATTTTTGTGGTAAACCTTTAATCCAAATTCCCATTACACCCAGATACAATGTAATAGCGTAATGTATGCTACTTATGTTTGCAGATATAAGTAGTATGTAGCACCAATCGGAAGTGGAATGTCTGCTAGCACGAGGTTTGGAAGATTATTGGGATTACCAATTGTAGCGTGGCGTCGAGTTGAGATTAACTATGAACACCGCTACCAAGAAACACGTGCCAAATAAATCAGAAGGCGTAAGAAGCTCGTTCCAAATGACTCCATAAAATCCCCGAGAAGCCAAATATCAGAAGGCAATTAATGGACCAAGTCGATGTTTATTTGCTGGCGATCTCGTGGCATCGAAAGGATACCGAGATCGTGCCAGGATACAAGCTTGGTTACAGAACGTAACCGAATTCGCGCGAAGTTACAATCGAAGTGTAAGCGAAAGAATGGAAGCACAAAATAGCTGTCATTAGCACAGTCAAACAAAAGCACGTTAAAACAAACACTGGTACAGTTGGTTATAATAATAATTGTTTTTATTAAACCAGTCGTGTTCTCGTGATAAACGTGAGTCACTACAGGAGCCCCCCGCTAGAAAGGGTTTACACTTTCGATAAATAGCGGTTTGAATCGTGGGACTGATCGGCTGACGAGCGGTTGTAGGACGGAAGAATTGGCGAACAGGAAAGCGATCGTTGATCGTCGAGTTGCCAACGAAGGTCGTTTTCGGAGAACAGTACCAGGAGCGATGTGCTGTATGTATTGCTTGAGTTGGCATGCTACACGAGAGTGGTTTGTATCCAGAATCTGAAGAGGGCGTTCGTACGGGTCCGGACCATAAACGCTGCAGACGAAGGACGAAACCACGTTGAGCCAAAAGACCAGAAGCGACCATAACGACCAAGTTTGAGACCAAGCGTATGCCAAGCATTCGAAACCAATATATCGACTGAGTACGTTGACAAGAGCGTGGGTGGCCAATCCAGCTTTCGCCAAAGTTGACTGAAGTCGACGGAACCAAACGGAGATGGTCGAAGGCGTGGGCTCAGGAACAAAAAGAAAATCAAAAAAAGAAGAGTGTAGCATACGTGTAGTATAGGAATAATCCTACACCGTACCGGTAGTTGACTGTGCGACTATTCGCGGAAGCGTACGGGTAACCGTACTCGGCGACCGGAACGTGAGACGGCAGTCTCGTTCGCGTCGCGTGAGCCTGCAATCTCATCCGAAGTCAAGGGCGGCGTGGTCTGCTGATCTGGACGTGAGACTGTCGTCTCGTCCGTAGACGGTGCAGATGACGCGTGCTGTTGACTGGGACGTGAGAATGAGGTCTCAGATGTATCTAGCGTGGGACCTGAAGATGATTTGAGGATCCCGCTAGTAGGTTCGATAGGTCTAGCATTGAATCTCAGGTTGTCAGATAGGGCACTGTCATCGACGTGTGCTGGTTTGAGACGATCAATGCTGACGATCTCGACGCGTCCATATCGATCAACCTTGAAGGTCTTTTCGTGACGAGCGATCACGTGAAAAGGGCCTTCGTAAGGTTGTTGCCAAGGTTTGCGTACCGAATCTACTCGTACAAAAACATGTGAACAGGTAGATAACTCTCGAGGGAGAGCGACCTGTCGATGTTGTATTCGAGTTGACACCGGAGACAGCGTTCGCATAATGCAGACAGTCGATGGACGTAGTCTGATTTACCGAAATTAGGTCTGCTCCGTGGTGTGAAGAATTCTCCGGGCAGACGCAATGTCGTGCCGTATACCAGTTCAGTGGCGGAACATTGTATATCTGCCTTTAAGCTCGTTCTGATCCCTAAAAGAACGAGCGGTAAGGTTTCGTGCCAGTTGCCGTTTTCGTGTGCTCGTAGAACACTTTTAAGTGGGCAGTGAAACCGTTCAACTTAACCATTTGGTGCTGGGTGGTAGACGGATATGCTTATGCGAATGCATTCCGTACCAAGCAGCCGGGTCAGCGAGGAGAATCGTTAATAGGGTAACATTACTCGAATAAAGCGTGGAATTCATCATCACGCGAATAAAAAGTGACAAGGATTCGGTACACATACGTGTGAGTCTATTATATTAATACTATTCTTATCGTTATCCGTCATGTCACGTATATTATATATTAAATATGAAAATATACGACAGACGTGGATAGATAAATCATAGACTCACCGAATTGGCTTCTTTGGAAGATTTGACCAGAAGTTGAATCGTGTTCCAAAATACGGCTCACCAATTGTAGCGTTACCAATTGTAGCGTGGCGTCGAGTTGAGATTAACTATGAACACCGCTACCAAGAAACACGTGCCAATAGATCAGAAGGCGTAAGAAGCTCGTTCCAAATGACTCCATAAAATCCCCGAGAAGCCAAATACCAGAAGGCAATTAATGGACCAAGTCGATGTTTATTTGCTGGCGATCTCGTGGCATCGAAAGGATACCGAGATCGTGCCAGGATACAAGCTTGGTTACAGAACGTAACCGAATTCGCGCGAAGTTACAATCGAAGTGTAAGCGAAAGAATGGAAGCACAAAATAGCTGTCATTAGCACAGTCAAACAAAGCACGTTAAAACAAACACTGGTACAGTTGGTTATAATAATAATTGTTTTTATTAAACCAGTCGTGTTCTCGTGATAAACGTGAGTCACTACAGATTGAAATAAAAACATAGAGAGGGAAACTGAAAGCTACCAAGATAACAGATATAAAGAAACAATGAGGCCTGTAAGAGACAGTTCAGAGATGTGCAAATGATGTATCTAATGTATGGTTTTCATATTTTACGAAAGCACTGTGTGGTTGAGTAATAAACAATAAATTGTTTTTCCCCACCCGAGTCTTCTTAGTAGCTGGTACCTTAGAAATACCAGAAATATTCCGTCCATTTACATCCAAATATCGAATGTAGTGTTACTCTATACTCGCCCTTCAGTGTTTTCCCTTCCAGTCTTTTGATATTGCCGTTATTACCCATCCTTTTTTTCCTGTGGTGTGTTAGTGTAAAGGATGCTCTCAGGCTCGTTAGTATTCATAATTTCTACCCGTACATATGTAGAAGTATCTTTTGTTTCTGCGATATTTGCGTATTTTAGAGTTGGTGTCTATAAAATATAATTATTCAAGTGAAACTTGTGATAAATATCTTATTAGAACAACAAATATAAGTCCAAAGTATTGTTTTCAGCTATGTCTTTAGACTTTAATATACAGTAATATTTATATGCACATATAAAACATAGTAAACGAAATAAGGCAACTTGCTGGTCAATGATATCAATTAGTCCAATTACATAACCGATCATAAGTAAAATGTTACAGATAGGTAGTGAAATGACAAGTGCTCATGTACTGATAATAACAGTAAAAGTTTGAATAAGTATACCAAAAATTGGTGAAAATAAGCTTATGAAAATAATAACCAAAACTATGTGATAAATTATTTATTTATTTATTTATTTGAACACATGAATATTGGTACAAGAGAGCGCCAATATATATGCGCCACACAAAACAATGAGAATTCGAAGAGAAATAAAAAAAAAGCTAAGGAGCGCAAAAAAAAGAGAACAATAACGAGGAGATTGGTGTAAGGTAGTATGGTAGAAATGAGGGAACGGAAAGGTACAATCAGAAGAAATCTTTCAGGTAAGGGAGACACAACCACTTTTTATGAAGAAAGTAAAAGAAGGTTACAGCAGGATCGCCACTGGCTTCTATTCTGAGCCATATCTGATAACGTCTCTAGCCACTGTGTTGCACCATCTCTCAGACCCCAACCAGGGAGTCGTGAAGGACCAACAGAAGCCAGTCCTTTGCAGCTTTCTTTCATGCCACGACACCATGTCATGCACTGACCACCTCTCCGCTTCTTCCAACCAGTCCCAGAGTCGGCAAATAATGCACGACGTGGAATTCTCTGGGACGACATTCGGAGAACATGTCCAAGCCATCGAAGTCGGTGTTTCAAGATGGTGACACCAATTGAATTATCATCTCTGTGCCCGAACACACGATGCCGAACCTCTGCATTACTGACATGATGTTGCCACTGAATGTCAGCAATCCTTCGGAGACAGCGATGATCGAACACAGAGAGTCGTCTAACGTCCTCAACTCGGAGAGACCAGGTTTCACAAGCATAGAGCAAAACTGCTCTCACCGACGTGTTGTAGATCCGACCTTTTACAGCCAGGCTAACATCACGAAGGCGCCAAACATGGCCCAGATTGGCATAAGCCGCTCTGGCTTTCACTATTCGTGCATTGATCTCATCACTCACACCCCCACCAGCACTTATGCAGCTACCCAGATACACGAACTTCTCGACTACGTCTATCTGCTCACCATTCAGGGTGAGTACATGATTGGAATCCTGCCAGTCTTGTAGAAGTACTTTGCACTTCGAAGGTGCAAAACACATACGATACCTACGGACACTGATTGCCAACTGATTAATTGTGGATTGCATGGCTTGGGCATTATCGCACAATAAGACAATATCATCCGCATACTCAAGGTCGAGAAGTCTTTCTCCAGGCAACAGATCCACACTGCCATTACTTACATCCATCAGAGCTGTTTCCAGAATGTCATCGATGGCAAAGTTGAAGAGGAATGGTGAGATTGGTCAACCCTGCCTAACCCCACTGCTCGAATGGAACAATGGAGAAAGGTGGTTGTGTGCCGTCACTCTGTCTGAGGTGTTTGTATATAGGGCTTTTAGGATGTTAATAAACTTCTCAAGCACACCCTTCTTCAATAGACAATCCCAGAGAACAGCCCTGTCCAACGAATCGAAGGCAGCCTCAACGTCAAGAAACACTACGATTGTTGGCCTGTGATAAGTATGGCGGTGTTCTAACATTTGGCGTAGGGTGAAGATATGATCAATACATCCTCGACCAGAACGAAACCCAGCCTGCTCCTCACGAGTCAATCTTTCTCGGGTTTTGAACAACCTACGAAATATGACGGAAGCCAATAGCTTGGACGCAATCGGAAGTAGACTTATCCCCCGATAGTTGTTACAGGAACGACGTGAACCCTTTTTAAAGATAGGGACAACTATCGACTCATTCCATGACGTTGGTACACTCTCTAGTTCCCAAACCTTTGTAAACAAAGTCGTCAATTCCTTAGTCAAAAAGTCACCACCATCTTTAAAAAGAGCCGGAGGTAAGTCATCTGGGCCAGGTGATTTGTAACGCACCAAGAGTTGGAGTTCCTTGCGGACTTCCTCCTCGTTTGGTGGATCAGTCGTCACCGGCCATGGAGGGCAGGACAGTCTGACTGATGTTGCCGGAGCAGCAGGACAGTTGAACTGCCCTTCGAAAAATTCTGCCCATCGTCCAAGACGTCGATGGATGTTAGTGATTGGCATCCCATCATCCTCGCAGATTGTTTCGCTCACACCAGACTTCTTGCTGTCAGTGGCTCGGATGAGTTGAAAGAGCTTCCGGTAGTTACCAGATGCAGCTGCTGCTTCTAGCTCATTAGCACGCTTCGACCACCAGGCTTCTCGGTCCTTACGCAAGCTTTGCCCAATTTCCTTACGTAACATCCTTCGTTTATGGTCAAACTCACGGTCACCCGGAGTAGACCGACGGGCTTCAATGAGTTGTAAGGAGCCTGAAGAAACCCAGTGCTTATAAGCGAGACGTTTCGCAAACCCACAACTGACTGTACCCGCCATTTTCATGGCGTCATGCAATTGCAACCAATGCTCATCTATACTTTTCGGTGGAGTGGTAGCTAGCCTAGAGGCTAGCTCGGTTCGATACTTACTAGCAACAGAAGTTGCAACCAGCTTGCTAATATCAATCCGTTGATGGCAGTCACTTCGTTGTCCACTGAAAAGTAAGGCAAGATTGGCGCAGACCAAGGCATGGTCAGAGTCCAGATAGGTACTCCAAAAGGAGCGGCAGTCTTGTACACAACCACGCCAGCGGTAGCTGATCGCGATGTGATCAATCAGAGCCCAGGCTTGAGATGCAGAGGGAGGACGCCAGGTGGCACATCGGAGATGACTGTGCCGAAAGTTAGTGCTAGCCAGAAACAGGTTGTGGTCTGTGCACAGTTGCAGTAGACGGTCCCCGTTATCTGACCTGCGACCAACGAGTCCCCATCGGCCACCTAAACGACTCTCTTCTGTGCCTAGACGCCCGACCTGAGTCTCCGGCTAGTACTACAATATCTTTCGAACGTACTTTCTGGAGAAGAACAGTTAACTGGTGGTAGAATTCATCCTTGATTGCATCCGGGCTGCAATCTGTCGGGGCATAGACGGGGATGACGAAAACACATCGTTTCTCACGCCGATTTCTTCTCACGTTGATGGAACTTTCTGATCTAACAGCACATAACCGACTGTTAATGGGGATCCAATCGACTAGTGCTGCCTCAGCTCTAGCGCTTAGTGCGACACCAACACCAGCAAGATCAGACGAAGATGCCACAGGGTCCCCGGATAAGCGCACGTAAAACAAGCTTTTTGAAGTGACAGATGTAGAGCGAATTTGTAGTACTTCACCAGAGTCTTGAATACGGGTCTCGGATAGACAGCAGACATCGATATTAAGACTTTCCAAAGACATAGCCAGCCCTATCTGTTGTCCAACCTGCATAAGTGTGCGAACGTTGAAGGCAGCCAGTTTGAATGGCGCACGTGGTTTCAGAAAAACTGCTTCAGTACTCATATTCGGTGGTAACATACAATTTTCAACCGGACAGTGACATGAGAACGTTTAGATACAGTCGAATTTCCACCAAAGAAGAGCCGCCGTATAAGTATAAAAGAGGGTGAATAATGTGGAAAATAATAATAATAATAATGACAATAATTGTAATGATAATAATTTGAATCAATTGATTGTTTTTCGAAGCGAGAAAAGTAATTCCCATAGACATAGAGAGTTCATCATTTGTGTGTGGGCTGTGACACTGCCCGGGTGCCCAAACCGAAGCAGGTGGTTTTCTTAGGGGGCCACACCCCGAGCCTTTGACCTAAAGGTCTAACCCACAAGGCAGTGGAGCATCGTAAGGAGATGCGGTCCCATGTTAGCCGGTGACCAACGAGTGGTTCACACGCCATTTGTTCCCGCAGGATACTGGAGCTCATGTGCACCATTGGTTTGGGATCCGGTTAAAGCGCCGGACATTCGCTTTTCGTCCTCTCATTTTTGTAAACAACCCCCCCGCCACGAGAAGGCAGTGAGTAGGACTTCCCTGGCAGAGGCTGTATACGCGTGGCCGTGTGAGAGTATTTCGAGAGGGAGAGCGGACTCTCCCCACTCTCGGCCGTACCAGGGCATTAGGGGGCGAGGGATTAGCTTAAATAGCTATGTAGTGGAGGATTTATAGGGAAAGGGTCAAGAAAAACAAGCAAGTAAGGGGTGTAAAAAATTGGTCAGGTCGTTTATCAAGTTTTATCCGGCCGAGAAATGAACAATGGGGGCCAAATCACTCAGCATTGTTTAGATAACAGTCTATTTTAGTCTAGATAAATCTAGCAGTACCAAAATCAGTGCCACTTGTGGCAGATAAAATGGTAATAGCTGCCGAATTTGGAACCGTGGAAATTATATGAATTCCGGTCAACCGCTTTAAAGCAAACTATATATTTATTATATTGAAATCATTTTAGAAGCCATTATGACTACAATCACTTACCTACATTGTAGTATGATCCATGGTCATATAGTCTTCGAAAATGGAGATCTAGTAAAATATTCAAGTAATAAGTGACATTGACTACACGTTCCCACTAACCTCTTACTGGCTATTTCCAAGGATATAGACGAATATGAAAGCACAAATCTAATTTGAACACTTTTTATATTAAATTCCGAAGCCTGCTGCTCTGACATCCAGATTATATATATAGGTTTATCATTTAATTTGTTCGATCATTTCTTAACTTTTAGTGAAAGTTCTGGTGTTGTCGTGCACAAAGATTCAAAATGGTTCACTGCATGGCAAGATTTCAAGGAAAATAATCAGTACGTTCAAAGTGAGTGCTATGTTACTTTGGAAGAGACAATGACCATAAGTTTTGAGGATGGCATCGAGAAATGACTATAGTCCAAGTGAAAACTAAACATACAACTGTTTGTCTAAGAATGGTTACCTTTTTTCTCATAGGTTTTTGTTTTATCAACCAGAGTTTCGCCCTCAAATGCCATGGTACCGATGAGGGTGGGAAGAATCCTCTCTCTTAAAACTCACGTGACCACGTGCATACAACCACTATCAGGAAAGTCATACTAACTGCCTTCTCACGGTGGGGGTGTTGTTTACGAAATTAAGAGAACGAAAAGCAAACGTTCGACGCTTTAACCGGGTTGGTGGATATGGGGAAACAGCTTAATTAAAAAGAATACACCGAGAAAGAGTTTTAACAGTTAAAGAATTTCCTCTCACCTATATAAAGAAGGTAAAATAAAATTGCAACAGAACCACCACTGGCTTTTATTCTAAGCTATCCTAAGGAAACAAATGGCATATGCACCTATCATGGGACTGCATCTCCTTACGTTGCCCCACTGCCTTGTGGGCTAGACCTTTAGTTCAAAGGCTAAGGATGTGGACCTCTAAGAAAACCACCTGTTTCGGTTTGGGCACCCGGACAGTATCCCAGCCCTCACATTAGTCGAATGATTTATGTGACGCATATCTGTTTGTTGCCTCCTTAAACCAATGTTTGTGTTTAAATAAACACCACGTCATACACTGACTACTTCGCTTTTTCCAACCGGTCCCAAAGTTGACAAATAATGCACCATGTCGAATTCTCTGGGACACCATTCGTAGTACATATCGAGGCCACTGAATCCAATGTTTCAAGATCACTCAGTTGAATTATTGTCACTACCCGAACATATGTTTCCAAACTTTGCATCACTAACATGTTGCCACTAAAAGTCAGCAATCCTTCAAAGATGACGACCATCTAACACATAGTTGCTCAACTTCCACAACTCAAAAGGTCCAGGTTTCACAAGCACAAAGTAAAACTGCTCTCACCAGGTCTTGTAAATCTGACCTTTTACAGACAGACTAACATCATAAAGGCTCAGAAGATGATCCAGATCGGCTAAAAACTCTCTGCTTTTCACTATACATAAAGTGATCCCATCACTCCCTCCACCACCAGCTCTCACGCGGCTACCTAAATACAAAAACTTCTCGACTGCTTCTATATGCTCATGTTAGCGGGACATCGATTCAATTAAAGCATGTTCCGTGCAGGATTGTGTTGGCGCACGCTGACTGACTATTACTTAACCAATCAGCACTAGTGAATACTTCGAGAAGACTCTGGAATCTTCTTATGTAAAAGCTATAAATATACTTACGTTTTTCTTATTGTGCTTCATACCTTTGTCATTTGGAATATAATCTCGTTCCCGTTAAACCGCGTTCTG